AAAAAGTACCATTGTCCGTCCACATGTCTACATGCACTTTCTCAATGACTCTTTTCAGACCCTTCCCATCTTTAATACAAATTAGTCAATCTGCTTTGTGCTGCAGTGCTGGGGATTGAACCCAGCGCTTTGTCAACACAAGGCAAGTGCTCTAATGCCGCCACCTCCTAGTCCTAAATTAGCGCCTTTAGGAATTTAAGTAATGCAAGCAGTAACCAAGAGACTATAGCTTCACCAGCACTGCCATCCCCTCCCAGCCTCTCTCCTCTCCTCTCCTGTCAGGAGGCCCAGGCTGGGCTCCACCTTGGGAGCCAAAACATAGTCCTTCCTTTCAGGGCCCCACCAGGCTCAGGCCACAGGCCAGAGCCCCACGTCTAACTTTCCTCTTTAAATGTAAATTCACCATCTGAATGTAACCTGCTGGGAAAATTTCATGTATAATCACAGCTTATACCTACATATCTGCTCTAATGAAATCTAATTATATCATTAAATATGATGAAAATAAAAGTTTTAGAATCCGAATAGTGACGTTTTCTTTTCTTTATGGTGGCAGCCAGGCTTCCACTGTGTTGCACTCGTTCACTACTCCACTCCCACATGAACTTACTTTTATGCTTTGGGTAGATCACATCAAAACCAGGCAAGGGCATCACCACATCATGAATTGAATAATTATGAACATCTTCCTCCTCAATATAGGTGGCTGTGGCTGCAAATCCATAAGCAAACAGTAACTTAAGGAAAAAGCCAGTATTTTTGTGAATTCAAGCTTGGAAGGAAAGCAAATTGGGATATCTGTTTTTTCAATTATACCTAAGAAATAAAAGCAAAGAATTACTGGAATTCTTAATGAAGATTTAAAAAACTCAGCTGGAGGACTTCCAGGAAGACAGAAAGAAGCTCTTTGAGCGTTGCCATGCAAACACTAGAACAGAGCAGCGTGAGGAAGGCCAGAAGGAAGATGAATCCCCTGAACTTCAGGGGAAATAAAGGAGAAGGCTTGCTGAGATTATCCACTACCTGCCATAAAGCTGCTGCTGATTGCTGGGATAAGTCAACAGGGACCTGGATTATGCCTCCACATGTGGCTGCCAGTGACAGCAGAGAGAAGCCTAGAAGTGAACTTTTCCTGCCTTCACCATTTGATCTTACATCTATATGAGCATGAATGTGGTTTCTAGTTTATTTGTGGTTGTTCCTTTGTTCTGTTCTTCATTTTATTCCTTCCCTCTCTTTCCCTCCGTCTTCTGCAACAGTTTCCTAAAGTTTGGTTACCCTTTTCCTCCAGCTTTGCTTCTAATTTCTTTTTCTTCTTCTATTTCTGTTATTTTCTCTCACCGCTTTTAAATTTTCTCTCCTAAGGATAAAATTCACATGAGAAATTCTGTATTGCTTACAATCTTCTGGCTATGGATTTTGTTATAAAAACATAACTATATAATTATATAATAGATCTGTTATATAATCTATAATCTAAAGCTAGCAAATTAATGGTTTCCTCAGTTTGTCATTTTCTAGGTTATGTTTGATGCTATTGTTATTGCTGATTATACCACTTTAGCTAAAGTGACATAATGGTTCTCACCAGCTGTTCTTCCTGGTATACCAAGACAGACTGCACGAAGGTCATAGAAAATACTGTGGGCCAGTGCCAAAGAACTATGCACTGGGCAAAGTAGGCAACAACTCATCATCAACAAATTGAAAAGAGGGCTGGGGCGATAGCTCAGTGGACTAAGCACCTGTCTGGCAAGCATAAGGATCTGGGTTCCATTCCTAGCACCACATGCCGCAAGAGCCCTGGAATGCCAAGTGCTCATGCTGGCCACCAAAACCAGGCATGGTGGTGCACACCTGTAATCCCAGCTCTGGAGAGGTCGAGACAGGAGGATCACTGTGAGTATGAGCTGTGAAACAAGACTCTACCAAATAAATAAATAAATACAAAAAACAAATTGAAGAGGTAGGATCTTGCAAGACTCAAAATCCAAAAATTGGCTATACTCGAAATAACCTTGATAAGTAGGTATTTCTTAAGAGTTGTAAATACTAGCAATAAAGCAACTCTACATAGGTAACTTAAAAAGCATCATCCCAGGAATTTAAACACACACACACACACACACACACACGCACACACAGAGAGGAAATGAGAAAACATTTAAACAACATTCAATTCCAGACATCCACTTTACCAAAGGAAAACCTAGGGGGCAAGGAGGTGGGACAATCTGAAAGCCACCCACCTGGCCTCTCTGAAGAAGTAACGAAAAAGCAAATGAATGAGGCTCTAAACAAAATCAAATCAGAAATAATTTCTCAGATAACTGCAAAGATGGTGATCATAATGAAAACCATGCTTAGTGACTCTACAGCAGATAAGATTTAAAAAATAAAGAAGCTTAGAAAAATGATGAAAACCATTAATGCCCCAAATATGAAAGAAAATAGAATCCATAAACAAACAAAAAATTCCTAGACACAGATTATCAAAACTGAATTAAGAAGATATAAAAATCCTAAATAAACCAGCATCATCAATGACATTGAAGATCTAATTAAAAATCTACCAGCAAAGAAAAGCAGAAGCCCAGGCAGATTCACTGCTGGATTTTATAAGACATTGAAATAAGATCTAATGCCACTACTTCTCACTCTTTAATGAAACTGAAAGGGAACCAATACTCTCAAATTCATTCTTGAAAGGAAGCATTACCCTGATACTGAAACTACAGAAGGACCCAACTACGAAAGAGAACTATAGGCTAATATCCCTAATGAACACAATCATGATGATTTTTTTGTAAAAATCATCAATACAGTACCGGCAAAAACAATGCAGGAAATCACCAAGAAGATAATACAGATGACCATGTGCAATTCATCCCAGGGATGCAGGGATGGTTCAACATACATAAATCAGTAAATGTACTGCACCGTACGAACAAAGCCAAGGACAAAAAACCATACGATCATCTCGACTGGTGCAGAAGAAGCTTTTGACAAAATCTAGGACACATTCATGATAAAAATCCTGTAACAAACTAGAATAGATGGTCTTTATCTCAATCTGATAAAAAGCTATATATGACAAACCAACAGTCGACATCACAATAAACTGACAAAAATTGAAAGCTTTCATTCTAAAATCAAGAAAAAGACAAGGGACCGGGGAGATGGCTCAGTAGAATAAGCACTTGCCTGGCAAGTGCAAGGGCCAGAGTTCAACCCCTGGTTGGATGTCCACTGTCACCACTATTAGTAATTATAATATTCTGGAATGTTTTGCCAGAGCAATGAGGCAAGAGAAAAAATATAAAAGGAGCAATGATAGGAAAAGTAAATTATCACTAGTTGCAGATGACATGATCCCAAAACTCCACCAAAAGATTTCTAGAATAAGCAAATTCAGTAGCAGAGCTGGATAGAAAGTCAACACTAAAAATTCAATAGCCTTCCTATACATGAATAAAAAACTCAGAGAGGAACTAAGAAAACAATACCTCTCACAGAACATCCCCAAAAATGAAATACCTACGAATCAATCTAATAAAGAATGTAAAAAGACTTCTACATTGTAAACCACAGTACTCTGAAAAAGATCAAAAAGAATGTCAGAAAATGGAAATATATCCCTTGCTCCTGCGAAGAACTAATATAGTAAAAATGGCCATATTTCCAAAATTGTTATACAGGGGCAGCCAGATAGCTCAGTGGATTAAAGCAACTGCTTAGGCAGACATGGGTCAGAGTTCAATCCTAGGCGTTCAATCCAGTGCTGTCTTGGCCCCGCCCCTGGGGCACACTGAGATGGCAACTGAGACTAGGCATGGTGGCACAAGCCTACAATCTCAGCACATGGGAGGTTGAAAACAGAAGAATCACTACGAGTCCAATCTGTGGAATGAGACCCTGTAGACCCTGTACTGTACTAATACAAAAAAGAAAAATTGTTATACAAATGTAATGCAGTTCCAACCAAAATTCCAACAGCATTATCTCACAGAATTAGGGAAAACATTCCTAAATTCAGTTGGAGCCAGAAGAGGCCTAGAATAG